CTTTTTAAACGTTCACGTACAATAATCAGAAACGCGAATATCAGAATAACATATACCTGTTATTTGCATCCTCAAATCCTTTTCCACGATTGGAATCCCAGTCGTTATACGTCTCTGCACCAGATTTATTCCACTTGGGACTGTCCATCCATCTGTCCCCACCGCCAAACCTCATTCCCATCGCTTCGCTCGATAAGCCAACATACTTGTCTTTATTCTTCTTAGCCTTCTTCCTTTCATCCCTGAGTTTATCGTCGTCCTGGATGAAGTCGATTAATTCCCTAACTTTGTGTCTAATGTTTATTCCTTGATCTTTCCCGAACTCGTCGATATAGGTGTAATTTTCTAAAGACCTGAGGTCGTAGATGTGCTCGCGTGACGATGTGACGACCCGTTCCGAGCCGTTACGAACTAAGTAATTAAGGAGGAGCAATGACTGTGAAGAAAAAAATAGAGATTAATGAAAAGCTAATAAAGTACGAATGGAGAATGAAATGTTTTTATATTCATGTGCATTTTGTTTACTACTTCGTAATATGATAATGATCCTTCTCCATCGATATCTTCCATACAATAAGGTTTATTGTTTCTCCTCGAATGCGATGTAATAATTGCGAGGAAAAACGATCGCGTACCTTGTACGTTCGTCGCCAATTTCGTTTATTCTCTTGCAACATCCTTTTCCAGAGCATGGACATTACCTCTGGAAATTGCTCGTACGTGAATGTGGCCTGAGCCAGTTCTTGCATCATTGCCCCTTAAAAAGTAAAATGCGCATTCCGTATAATTAATTCACCAGGTATTCCACGTAAAGTGCATAATGGTAAAGTGCTATTGTCGGAAGCGCGGATCGTACCTGTGGGACCCCACGCGTCGTCGTTAGTTGCCTCCCGAACTTTGGCCTCCGTTTCCGTATAATTCATCACGACATTCGTCCTACAAATGCAATATCATAATGAATTTTCACACGTACAAATCTGCGACGTACGCAAAATACTACAAATTACGAATAATCCATTATTAAATTAGACGTGCAATAATGTCGCATTACACTCGTCGTATCACGTAATTATTTCCCCCCCCCCCCCCCCCCAAAAAAAACAACGCCCGATAAAACGTGTAATACCCATCGCGTGGTAAGTGTTGCGGTCTTACGTGTAACGTACGTAGCATACGATACTGTTTATATCTTCGCCCACAGATAGCTTTTACAGCTGGATTACGCAAAGGGTTACTTACAATAATCCTTCTATTATTACACTATTTATAAAAAATAATTAAGTATAGATATAACACAACGATGTCTCTCTCTCACTCTCTTCCTCTTTTATCTTCTTTTTTTGCCGTATTTGGTCCGCAAACACATTAGCGTAAGTGAAAAGCGCATTCATGCGACTACAAAAATGCATAGAGCCGTGAATTACGTAAATGATTACAGTTTAAAGCCATTATAGGTTTACGAGGTATCTCAGACGGTCTTACTATATCGGAACCTGACCCGAGATTAATTTACCAAGATCAGTTTACGAACGTAACTCGCGTACTTAATTAATTTATCAAGATTATTAATTCGCTGCAACCCGAGTTACCTGGCCACGCATCCTTTACGAGTATGATTAAGCACGTGATTGTGAAAAATGTCCGTATTAACTTTTAATACAGGTATTTCTTATTAATCGCGCATTTAATTATATTCGATTAAAAACAAGTTAAATAGACACGTTAAAATGGATTAATTTATCAATACCTATATCTTTTGACTTTCCAAAAAACATATTAATAGTTCGGAGGATTTAATTATTAAATAAAAAAAATCAACAATTATTAGCTCATTATTGTTTCAAAGCATTTACTGATTACTTTGAGAGAGAATATGCATTTAGTGTTTATAATTTTAGATATAGACTCGTTCAGTTAGTATCGTTTTCAACGAATAGATATAAATAGAAATTCAGCTCGTACTACAAGACAAAATATACAAAGACAAATAAAATTTCGTAAAAATAAATTAACCATTTTTGTTAATTTATATAGATAAATCGTGTTATTCTTAATATTTCCATTTAAGTGAATCATTAGAATGACCATTTAAACTGCGTATTTACTTAATCATATTTATCAATTAGGAACAGACACGTTAAAATGCATTAACTTGTTAGTACCTTTCGAGGTATCTTTCGACTTTCCAAAAAAGATATTAAGAGTTTATCCGAAGGATGCAATTATTAAATAAAAAACTCAATAATTTGATTAGCTTAGTACTGTTTCAAAGATATTACTGATTACTTGAAGGAGAATATGCATCTAGTATTTAAAATTTTAGATAGATTTATTCGGTTATTTTCAGTTAATATCATTTTCAACAAATAAAAATACAGAATTTTTCAGTTTTACTTTTGCATTAAAAGACAAAATAGAGGCAACATTTTGTAGGGATAAATTTAAAATTTCTGTTAACTTATATAGAAAAATCGTATTGTTTCATTGGCGATAATACCTCTATTCAAAACAAATCATAGAGTGACCGTTCAAAATGTATATGTGTGATAAATGATAATTTCTGTATCTAGACTAGACGACAGATTTATCAAACCATTTTTATCTACAAACATGCAGAAGCTGGTAAATCGGTAAAAGCTAATACGAAGAACGAAAGAGTACTCGAGCCGAAGACTTTCGTAATTCTAGACGAGTATTCGAGCGCGACCGATAAGAATCGGAATGTCATATCGCGTGAATAAACTTCTCCGTCGTGTCTCCCCTGCGTGCCCGAGGCATTAAACGAGCTTACTTTACCAATCACGAGTGTGATTATTAAGTAAGAGATTGCGAAAAATGTCTGTTGACATACTACCTTTCAATTGGGGGGAAAAAAAAAAAGAAAAAAAGGATTCTTAAAATTTAATCAGGAGGACATAATTCCTAGGAGGTGAAGCGAACTGAAATGGGCTAATTAAACGAATTGAGAATTTTGCTTTCGAGCTCTCGACGTCGGGGAAAAAACTCGGCGAGAAGATATAGGCGCGAATTTTTAAAATACACACTTCCTCACACGATTCTCTGCGTTAATTCCCAGATTTTCGACGAATCGCCCCGAATGTCGATTCCGAATTGAACTGATGACACGAGTCCGGAGATGGATAATTCGAAAGACGAGGGGTCGGGGAGCCCCCGAAAAAGTCTGGGAGGAGCCGCATTTCGTAACGTTTTTGTAAGCGCAACGGAGCACTCGTTTTGTAAGCGTTTAGGAAAAAGCGCTTACAAAATAAATACGCGCGCACCTGCGGCTGGTCGCTGGCGGGAAGGGAGGAGGAGGAGGAAGAGGAAGAGGGGAGGGAAGAGGGGGGACCCGCGCCATCCGTCATCAATTCCACGATTGTTTTCGCATCGTTTATCGCACGCCGCACTATCGAATCTCAAGGTCGCGTCATAAAATTACCCACGTCGTTCCAGTTTTACGAGTTCTCTCTCTCCCTCCTCTCCCGACCGCGCCGCTCTCTCCGTCTCGCCGACCGACCTGTCGCGGGCGACCGCATCCTCTCTCGCGCCGAACGTGTGATCGGCCGAACCGAGGATTTTTCCGTTTTCCTCGTATTCCCTCTCCTTCCTCGATGCGAGGATCGACGGAGAATCGCGCGCGCGAGACACGTATGTACTCGAAATAAATTCTAATCGAGCATGTCGCGTATACCATTTTTCCACGATTTCGCACTATCGGCGCGGGAGGGGAGGGGGAAGGGAAAGGGGGAGGAACGGAAGAAGCCCGACCGGGAAACACGCAGCGCGGAACGGCGCGGCGCGGCGCCCGGGGAAACGGAGAGAGAGCGAGGTTAGAGGCGCGAGCTCGCGCCGAGGAATCGGCTAAACGGGACTTACGCCTTGTCCATCAGCTCCCGCACTTTCCACATGTTCATCATGTTTGCGTTGTCACTGCCTATCTCGCGTTATACGATCGTCACCCTCGACGCGCGGTACTCCTCTCGACGGGATCGCTATCTGCAGCACGTCGCCGAGAACGTTCACCAGATGTTTCCCGGAGCATCTGATATACCCAGTAATACCCACGACGGCCGAGCGGAACGTCACCAGGCGGTAGCCATGTTATCCCTTCCACGTTTGCGGGCACCTCGCGCTCGCGCCTCGCCGCGATCACAGGTGTCTCCCCGGTCACCCCGTGTTTATCATGCCGTAGACCATGGAGATTTGAGAACGGGAAAACGATTGTATAAATGGCGTATGTATGGGATGTATGCATGTAAACTTTAGGCCCTACGCACAATAGAGCACTTATTAAGAATAAAAATAAATAGAATTAAATATTAGGATATTTAAACATAAAAATATTCTTGTAATAAATAGTAAATGTTGGGATATATGTAAAAATGTAGGAAAATATTCCTATATTATATCTTACATTTTATTATTTTTTATTTGCTACGTTTAATTATTTATAATTTCTAATGTTTAATATTTACTTCTTATTCTTTTGTATATTTATTACGTTTTATCAAAAGCGGCGACCTCGATTGTGATACGGAGGTTGCTCTGGATATAACAAACGGGTCCATATAAATTAAAAAAGAGGTTATTCGAAAAGAAAAGAAAAGACATTTTTGTCGATGAAATATGTTATAAAAAAAGTATTAAGTACACACAAGTCACTTGTAAGGACGTCCGTCAAATGCGAATTATAAAGCGATTTATAATTTGTATTGCGTTATATATGTATATCCTTTAAAGAAAAATAATATAAATTTTGATTCCATAGCAATTGAAATGACGTTTTGTTATGAAACACTTTTTGAATTTGATTTTAAATTTTAAGTTAGAGTTAAATAGTTGGAATATAATAATTTAATAATCTATTATTCAATGAGTGATTTATCCATTAATTTATGAGCTCGCATTTAATAACTCATTTAAATTGTTCATTGTTGTATCCATAAATAGTAACAAAATGTAATAGTACAGGGATAATCAATTTTATCTTATACAGTTAATTATATTTTTAATAATTTATGTCTTTTTAAAATACGACATATAGGTACACAAAGAGCATACAATTAGATACGATTAAAAGTTCGTTTGTTGTCTGAAATGCTTCTGCAATTTGTTCTGTTTGACTTGTAGCTGCGTTGAGTACTTCGCTTGGATTCGTTGGAATTTCTGAATGTCTCGCTTCGTCATTCGGGCGGCCTCGAGTTTCTTTTCCACGGTACCGAACGATGCATCCTTTATCATCCGCTTATGCGGCCAATATTTCAAGTTCTTTATCGTCGCTGCAGTTCCTACAGGTACATTCTGCTTACAGTAAAGTGCCAAGGCACGATGGATGATCAACTTGCCAGACGGTAACTTCATCATATAAGCCTCGTCATCTAAAACTTCCGGCGATTCCGGTGATTCTTCATCCGGATTGGCATTCTCAGCATCTGGATAGCTGGACGAGTAATCATAGAAAGACAAATATTCAAGCATCGCCTCTCCTTCGAACAGCATTTTGCAGTGGCCCTTGTCGATCATATGCATTTTCACTGCTTCTGAACTTCGCATTTTCCTTCCTGTAAAAATATGCAAATTTTAATTCAATTCCAAGTTTACTCAAATCGCAATTTTTTCTGTTTAGTTCAATTTTCTAATTTAACTCTTTTTATTTTAATTCCAATCAACATTTATTTTAAGAACGTTTACAGTAAAGTGTTTAATAGAATATAATGGAAAAAAAGTAGTTGATTGAATAAAAGAGTATTATTCGTCTACCTGAGTCGTTACACCAAATGCATTTCAAGTCCGTACAAATTTTCTCTTCCAAGTACTTTAACAGGCCGTTTATATCCACGCAGTACTCAAGATCGGGTATGAAGAACGAATGTTTCTTCATCATGTGTCTCATATTGCACATTAAGGATTTACTACGCTGGTCACAGAACAGGCAATTGTTTTCATAAATCTGATACTTTGAGTCCTCAAGCCACTCGTCCGAATCCAAAGATTCTACATCCGAATCCGTTTCGATTTCCTCTTCGTTCTCATTGGACATGTCCTCTTCGTTCTTACTGGATATATCCTCCGTGCTCGTTAATTTTTTGCTGAAAACCACGGTTTCATCCTTTTGCTCCAGATTCTTTTTATGAGCCTTCGAGGCTAGATGATTCTTGTACTGCTTCTGACTGCCAAACTTCTTTCGGCAGACTTCGCAGAACTGCTTATCCTCAGTCTGTTCCGCAATATTCTCGCGATAAATCGCTTCCTTCCTCTGGAAGTCTTCGAGAGTGATCGGTGGCAATCCACTCACTGTTACATGTATGTTGTACCTGTGCCATTCGGAACGATAATGATTTCTGAACATTACCAGATCTGTGAACTTTACTTTGCACGTCCAACAAGTGAAGTGTTCTTCTTGCTGAGAATTCTCCATCGTATTTTTCCTTCTTGAGCAAACTCCAGTTAATGTGTGCTTAATGGTAGATTTCTGTCGTATATAAAAAAAATAAAAAACTAAATTAACTGACGATAAAAAAAAGTTACGTAATTGTAATTTAGCTTTCAATTAAAATAAAAATGTTATTTCTCGCTGTAACAAATATTTCTATTCCTGCTAAAAGATACACAGAGCTCGATGAAGGATAAATTTATTCTGTTGTATTCAAAAAGTCCATTTTATTAATTAACTCAATTAAAATCATTAAAAACTGCGTACTTTAGATAAACAACTCTGTTTACTCGTTATCACGCGATAACGAGTATAGTGAGTTGTTTATCTGTGCGAAAATAACTTGATGAATCCAACATAAAGATTCTCGGTGCGTGTACGTACAATACCACGTGGTATTTTAAAGGCTAGGCGACTTTAAAAAAAAAGTTTCGTTGTTGAACGTTAATTATACGACAATTACCGACTCACCTAATCCGATATTTTCAAGAACGTTTAATTCTTGCGAAGAGAAACCACCCAATCTCAAAAAAATCAAACAACTGCGACACGCGTACCAGATGCACTGAGGACGTGCGACGTGCTCACATGTCAATCACTTGCTACGTCAGTGTCGCCAATATAACGGTGTCAGCCAGTAGTACCGCTTTATTTTGCGCATGCGTCCTGTATCAAATTAATAATAATAATAATAATAATAATAATAATAATAATAATAATAATATAATATAATATAATTTATTATATAATAAATATATCGATGATATAGTAATTGCAGAGAGAAACTCTGGTAATTGTATATAACTAAGATTGCATATATAAATTCCTCTTTTTCTTTTCACGTTGGAGTAGAGCTCTCTGGTTGGAGAGAAAAAGAGGAAAGATGAACCGCGCAAGAAAAAGTTTAGCTAAAACGCGAATCAGGCCTAATGGCGCTATCTGAATTATTTCGTGCATCATGACTGTCGGCGCGTCGTGTGATAGTGGTATCACTGCCGTTGCCGGATTCAAGATGTAGGGGAGCGCGTTTAAATTGCCTGTTCCACCATACACGACGATGGCAGACTTTAACGACGGGGTGGACGGAAAGCTGGCGTTTAGAATGCGAAAGGTCAACCCGGAGCAATTTCACACGCTCGTAAAAATGCACCTGTCCTTCGAATTGGATCTCAATACGGAAGAGTGAGTGATATACCCGTTGTTTTCACGACTATCTGTATGTCCCACGATTGGTGTACCGTTGACACCGCTTCGATTCACAACAAGATTTCTGATACCGTAGCTTCGTTCTTCGTTCGTCTCGCATTTCGCCAGTTTTACCGTTAACGCTCTCAACCGCTAGCTTATTTGTCATAATTCTGATAACTTATAAGCCATTCTCTGTTACAAGACTCGTTATAAAAGTGTAAAATTATATTATTTGCACTCGATAACATTTTGATTGATCCTGCTTTAGCAGCGATGGTACTAATGAGAAGGCAAGGTTGAAGAAATGGGGTCTCCTAAGCTTCACCAAGAAATCCAAGTCTTCGGTTAATTTGGATAAAGGTACAGAAGGTGGCATGTTGTCTGAGGATGGTATCAATCACTTGACGCAACTGATAGATTATCTGTCTAAGGAACAAAGTAAGTAAATATATCGGATAATGAGAAATTCAAGAATGGAATTAAATATAGTTTTTATCTTGTAGATATCACACAAGAGGGAATATTCCGACGAACCGGAAAGCTAACGAGGCAGCAAGACTTGAAAACAGCAATGTCTCAAGGCGTATTTTTAGATCTTGACGATAGTAGATTCAGTGTACACGATTGTGCCTCCGTGTTAAAAGGGTTCCTGGCAGAGCTATCTGAACCGCTCCTGACAGACCTACATTATCCGGCGCATTGTCAGATTGCTGGTAGATAAAAAAAAAAATGTGTAGTTTTACCTGTGTATGCTACACACGACGTTTGCCACCACAATATATATCGATTATTTGCAGAATTGTGCAGCTTGGATGCAAAAACGAACGACGCGAGATTATTGAGTTCCTTACAATTATTGCTGCTGCTTTTGCCATCCCCTAACAGAATTTTACTGAAAGCTATTCTCACCCTGTTGAATAAGACAGCGAGTTACGAGCATAGTAATAAAATGAACAGCGACACGCTGGCCACTCTCTTTACGCCACACCTATTGTGCCCACGAAAGCTGTCACCCGAGGCCTTGCATATCAATTCTCAGAATCTGTCGTGTCTGGTCGCATACATGATTAGGAAAGGTACGGAGTTGTTTGAGATTCCACCGAAATTGGCTACAGATATAAGAGCGTACTGGTTGGAACAAGAGAGGAAATTATTGAGCCCTAAGAAGACTGATGTAAGTTTCAGACTAAAAAATGACACTGTGCCCCATTCTTGCGCGATACGATAAAAGATTTACAATTACAGCTGAACGAGTCGGTACCGGACGCAACTAGTACAGCCCATACCGTGTTCAGTTTCGTCGATCGTAAATTAACGGCGAAGGCCAATTCCACGCAAGACACGCAGGCAGCCTTGGCTCAGTTGTACGCACATATACAAGCCATGCCAGAATCTGCCAAGAAGCGACGACTTGTGAAACAATTTAACAAGGAAAATGGACAAGGTACACCTAGGCACGTGAAGAATTGTAAAACTAAGAGTCTCGGAGATTCCATCAAGAAACATATTTTTCAAAAGAAGAGCCACAAAAAGTTCGTCAACATTAATATCGGATGCAATATCACTAGATCGAGCAGCGAAGAAAATATATTATCAACGGTTAGTTTCCTTATCTTTCTATCGAATATTTTTCGTTATATATTTATTATTTGTTTGTGTATAACAACAGCACGTTTTATCTGTTTTTCTTTGCATGTACTGTATAGAAACTAGAAGATTCATTTCTTCCGACAAGAGCGGTCCTTAGCAAATCGAATGACGAACTTAGCACGGAAAACTGTGATACAATTAACAACGATCTTTTACATGCCAAACACATGAGTAGTATAGATAGCATTAAGAATGAGACTTTGACAAATTATAAAGCAAAAAAGAAGCTATCGATCGATGAATCTATAAACGTGAAAGAGGAGTTAGATGGAAAGGACACACAGCATGACGCGAAACAGGATTTGGGTTCAATCGAGCTCAGTTTGAGTACGAGTTTGCAAGAAATTAATGTAATCATTAATGAGGACAGTCAATCTGACACTGGTAAATTAACGCGACCATTTAGCGAACCACCCAACCTGTATTCCACTCGCAATGTAACTCACTGTGATAATTTAACGAATGACGGTATGCGGCGAAATTCGGAATCTACCCTCGCATCTATAGCAACAAGAAATACAGTACAAGTCACTTCTTCAGAAACTTGTACCTTGAACGCAAAGTCATCCGAAACTACCTTGAATGTTGATTCGCATGCTGAAAGTGCATGTACGCATAATTTACAGTCTCCGATGGTAAAAAACAGATTCAGGAATGTGTACGCTGTTCATACGTCGACGCCATCGAGTTTATTACGACGAAGCTTGGCAACTAACGACTATATCTTGACTCCTATTACTAACAATGATAGAAGCATGAGTCCGATTACGCAAAGTGCAACAAAAATGACGAAAGCCATGCAGGTACGTAGATTTCAAATATATTTCTATGTGAAAAATTTATATATATGTAATTGAAAAATATCAAGATATTAAAATGAATATCGAATTAAAATATCGTGCAATGTAAAACGAAAAATACATTTATCTTCTAATTTGTAACAGGAAACTATGATGACTCCGCGTTCCAGGAAGCCAGTGATGATTGTTTCAACTTCGAATCTATGCAATCTCGTCACCGGCAACAACAGCTGCGATTTGCGTGGATCGAATCTGGACATGGTTAGTGCAATAAATAATTGCGCTTCCATTTTAGAGGAATCCCAGACGTACAACAGTACGGACAATGCGCTGGCTCACGCGAAAGATGTCGAGAATAAAAAAAATAATAGATTGGACACCCTCGAGAAGCATAGCTGTGTACAATCGATCGCAAACTGTTGTGCCTGTACGCAACAAAGTTCGATGTCCATAACGAGCACGTTCAGGGAATATTTGTTATCGAGAAGCGTGTTAACCGCCAGTCCCGTCGATCTTAGTTTTACGTCACGGACAGGGGACTTTGAGCAATCGGAATCCGATTTGAATATATTAAACGACGATACCCTGTCCGACAGTTTATTGTGTTGCTTGGACGGTAACCAACCAGAATCTGACACTTCCGGCATAGCATCCGGCAGCACGAATAGCGCGAACAATTCCACTGAGAAAACAGAGGATTTACCTTCTCCAAGAAAACGAGGGACCAGCTTACAGCGAAACGATTCTAAAAAATCCGCGAGAGAAAGCGTGGTCAAGAGCACGAGAAGCGAGGAGTGCAAACATAAGCTGCGAGACGAATCGACATTAAATTCTGCGAAAATAAAAGATAGCTTTCAAGAGACATCATTTTAAGCTATTCATATAAATTATTTAATTATTAGTATTAGTATATCGTTAAGTATAAGTAGGTTTCTTTGTATACTTTAGGGCTGAAGAGAATTACGACATTAATTTAAGTTTTTTTTTTTTTTACCATTATGACCTTATGACAGGGTGTCTTACGCAACTGGGCAGTGCTGTAAAACGGATTTTGGAGATAGAAAAAATACAAGACAAAATTAAATGATTTTAGATGCTTCACATTACTATGTTACTTTCGTGCATTTTTATAGATAAATGCTATTACAAGGCGTAGTTGCGTTTTCTTTAAATGAAATCCTATATTTTCAAGTACTAATTAATGCAGGTTTTCCTTCTCTTTACGAATAACTATTATAAAGTTATACTTGAAGATTGTTGCTTTAGAAATTATTTTAACCGACTGATTAGAAAAATATCTATTAGATGTTCGGGGTAATTTTTAAGCATTACTTTATAATAGCTTTTTGCAGAGGAGGAAAAACTGCATCGATTAGTGTACTCAAAAATATGTAGTTTTATTTAAAAATAAAAAACGCAATTGCACTTTGTAACCCACGCACAAAAATGCATGAAAGTAAAAAATGTGAAGCATTTAAAATCACTTAATTTTGCCTTATGATATTATTTTTTCCATCTTCACTCCCGTTTTGCGTGAAACATTCTATAAAATTCATATAATTTTGTCTCGAACGAAAATTGATTATCCAACAGTAACTGGATTATTTATTCCATTTATGTGGAAATTAAATCGTTACTAACTTTGTGCATATGATGCACGATGATGCAAGATATTTAGAAGACTTTCATTTCCCTTTCATGACAATCTTGATAAAAGACGTTTGTAAAAGCTATGTATTGCTATGAAATGCAACAAAGTATTTTTCTAATTCGTTCTGTAATCATCAAATTGCACAATACATAACTATATGCTTTGATGTTAAGTGTAATTATTATTTTTATACACCTTAAATAAGTGTACTATGCAATGCAAGGTTTAAAATATTTACAAGTAAAATTGTTAACGACAGTATTACGTGAGAAACAACTCGCGTAATACATTTAATTATAATTATATACAAAAAAATGAGATATTTTAAGGATTATTCAAGATCAATCTATGTTATATGTTGTGTACAAAGTCGTGCAAATCAAAATCTAGAGAATAATATATCACTTTTTGTATTCTTAAATATAAGAACAGATTGTTAAAGATATCATGTGACTTTAACATTACGAATGTGGTCAGGAAATAATGAATCTTCTCGTGTGTATGAACGAGCAATCATTTAATTAATATAAATTGATTAGATAAAATTCATACAAAAAGGAATATACATTTGTACATCAGTACATATCATCGTGATTTAAATCCGGTATATATGCAAAACCTCGCTCCTTCAGAGCCTTGTTCACTCGCTTTTTTTGCTCCTGCTTCGACTCCTGTTCGCGCCTCTGAGCATCCAAAATCTCATCCACCGTCACCTTTTTCAACGGCAACACCTTTTCCTTCTCTATATCCTGCAACATGGGTGTATTCGTTAATTCAGTCCCACATAGGGATCATTAGTGTTTACCAGGAGAATTATATATAACAAATATCTTTCTATTCGTGAAACGCTTACTATTTCTCCTAAAAGCACAACGTTCTCCCCTCTTACTATGAAAATACCTCTCGGGATATCACCATATTCCTGACCGACGTGAATTCTTTCAATGGTACTCTGAAGCACTATATTAGCAAATTGATCGACACTTTTAAGATAGCCGATTAACGTTCTGCCATCCCTCAATAAAACCATAAGTTTCTCTAGAGACAAGAAATAAGTGTCACGTGATTCAACATATTAATAAACATTTGACAAGAACGGAAACTCCTCCAAATTTTAGACCTGTTATGACTGTAATTTGACAAGTTGTATTTTATTTAAAAAAAATAATTATTAATTTGTGCAGCTCAAGGGAAGCTAGGACCAAATGACGGTAATAACGAAAGTGCTAAATATTGTAATAATAATTAAGCGCCGGCACGTGGGTGCCTTCACGACCGCACGAATAATCGGAACACGATACGCACTCTCGAGTTCTTCGAGCAGCGACGCTGTCCCCGGTGGCAATTCATTAGCCTCGTTCATTTCACCCGAGTCAAACGAGATTGACGAACAAATCGAGCAGAGCGAATCACCGGCTCTGGATCTTTCTAACGTCGATAACTGTCAATAATCCTTCCGCAGTCTCCGTTCAACGTGATCACGCTCGTCCAAGATTCCAAATTTCCAAATAACGCTGCAGCGTCGCGAGATCTGTGATCCGAATGGAGAACTAGAAACGGCGAACGGCGAACAGAGATAATATCGATCTCGCGCTTGTTTCCTACGTTCGATACATCGATACACGAGAGGAAAGTACGCGATTTTATCGATACGCGTCGAATTCGTTTGCGTCACCGAATGCAGATGGCGACGGCGTGGCGTTACACATTTTTCGCGGCAAAAGTGCGACGGGCCGGAGTCCGGAGCCGCCGGAGTTGGTTTTTCGCGTCGTCGCGTGCGGCCCTGCGAGGCTTTTAATTCGAATAAATCCGAGTTGACGAGGAGTCGGGGCCTTTTAACATTCCAACGATAACCGGCGCTTCGGTTCGAGAGGAACGAGACTCCTGGGCCCGTTACTCGCTACACCCCTTCGTCGTCTTCTCTCCGCCGATTTGACCCGGCGCCCGGCGCTCGTCTACGCTCGTCGGCACCCGTAGCCCGGAGGATGCAAATCGTCTGTTCGCGTAAGCCGATATCGTAATTATTGATCGAGCTTTATTCATTTCCGGCCTAAATAGCAGCGATATGTCTCTTCGTGCGCTCTCTTCTCCGGATAGCCGCGGAATTTGTCAAGGACAGATTTGGACAGCGTCTGCCGTCTGCCGCAAATTTTGTCGACAGAATGCCAGCAAAAATATGACAGAATCTGTTAACAAAATGTAATGGCGGATTGCAGGATTAAGCGTTTACGCGTAGATACTTGGAGCTTTCCAGTGAGCGACACAAGTGTCGTTTTGTCTTTGTTACTTATTGCCAAAAAAGAAAGGTAGAACGACGTTTTTGCGTCGACTTGTGTCGCTTGCTGGAAAGCTCCCATTCTACATATTTCTACATACATATATGTATGCATAATGAGTAATTCGTGGATCATCGAACATTTATAATTTGGGAAGTAATATCGGGAATTTATGCTTTGTTTTCAGTTTTATTTTCAGTTACCATTATTTTGTTTGCGCACAATTTTTAGCATTCCACGAAAAATTACCAGATCAACTCAGCATAAATATTTCTATATTAGTATTAAATTTCTTTTATTTTATCTGTACAGTTAATTAATAATTAAATTTTTAACTGAAATGCATTTAATTTAATCTAGTTTGAAACTATTTAAAAAATTTTTTTAGATTGTAAAAATACAGTTTAAAAAAATTAATCAATCAGTTAATTTATAATATTTTACATCGCTTATATTGTCTGTATGAAAAAGGTTCGCATAAACATAACGTAAATAATAAGTGAACAATTTACAAGATGTAATTTTGAAATGCGGCACAATCTGGCGAATTGACTGTAGGAATAAAATTGAATAAAATTTGCCCTTTTGTAACCATTTCAATAATGTATTTTATGTAAATATACATGAAATGACAGATTTTGCTCGGTTTCTGCCAAGAATCTATAATCATATTATATCTGTGGGTTCTGCCGGCAAAACACATCAAGTTTAATCTTTTCACTGCGGAACTGCGGTACACCATGCACATTGGAACAACGATCGCTATATACTGTGCGATAGTCACACATCCATCATTACGATAATTATATTATTTATCCGGGCATTATATTTACTCACACATTGTTTACCGAACGGGTTTCGTAACTGCTAATTTATATTCAATGCCGTAGATACTGTGTTTGCAAATAACAGGCAATTTTCTATTCTGTATATAAATGTATATACATATATGGCGTTCGCAGCGAAAGGGTTAAATGCGGACACAGATGATACCGGATCTATTTGCGGTATCTGAACAAATCTGCTGCCAATCTATTGTCATATACTGCGGACAGTTTGTTTACTGGGTTATTTTATTTGCACATAAGTTTCACTTTTATCAAATGTATCAAAAGACGCGGTAGCGTCTCTCGCATCAGTAAGTATATAGGTATTTTTCCGCCAATAAAATACATACATTCTTTCATGAGCGATAGAGTAGATCTCGACCAGGGTAGGAGGAATTTTCAAGTTAACGTTTACAGAAAAGCAGAAAGATCGCAGAAACATTTTAGCGGTATTTCTTACAAAATTTGTCATATTTTTGCAAGATTCTAAAAATGAATCGACGTTGCTGCCGTATTGTCGTCGAATCGCAACACTTTCTTTAAAAAAAAAATCGTGGCGCGAACGCGCAATGATGTCTCTAATGTTGACAAAACGATAAATATAACATATGTCTATTTATTTTTTTCTCTTTTTGTGTAACATTTGTTTATACAACTATATCGTAAGATTACTTTGCACATAGATTTAAAGCGATAATGCTGATCGAGATATTCTTAAATTCTACTTGATCCGTGCCAGAATCTTAAAAAAAGGAAGAAATTTCTATCGCCTTTTCTACTTTTATAATTATATATATGAATAGCGAATCTCAACGCGCGAGTGTGAAGTCTGAATCGGCCTTCCGACGCTCATTAAACCATCGTAAATTAGCATTTGCAATAAAAGGAAATGCATATCCAGCGATATACGGGCGGGAGGAGGAGAAGGAAAGGGGAAGAGAAAAAGAAGGTAGACGAATGTTTCGAACAACATTGTGGCGGCAATGGGGTATACCAGAGTCCCGGCGCGGCGCGTTTCTGCGACGCACCTGGGTCATCTCGACGCCTATCCGGGACTCCGCTTTATACGCGGACACTTTATGCCCCCGATTGCGAGCGACACCGGAACGCTCTCAACTACACCCGGCGACCATCCAGAATCCTTTTTCCGATCGCAAAACAACGGAGGAGAGGAGAGCGCGATTTAATTTAAGGACCCTGTGCGCGTGAAGCCGCGCGCGGCGCGTTTCCCTTCCCTTATGCTGCGTATAGCGTAGTTCGCCCAGTCCGGCGGCACGTTTCAATAATCGTGGGCACGACAACGACGCGACGAGCTTTCTCGTAAACCAGATCCGTCGCCCTCGGTGCAACGAATCTTATCGGGATGGGGAAAGTAACGCACGGTAATGCAGTATTTTCAAACACCGTGCACGCGCGCGCGGCACTTGATCTTTGACGATCTCCGTCGGGAATTTTCGCCGAAAGTTCGTCACGCATCCTTTCTTTTCCTCGCGAATGATGATGAATATATTTAGATCTGCAATGTACGTGAGGCCACGATCGTAATCTGGTAATCCGTTTATAAATAAAGAATGCTAAATTAAGAAAGAAGATGATAAGTAAACTGGAACATTCAAGGGACAATAAACGAGCAGTCCAGGGGATATTAATAACTTAAAATGTGATTTATTATCAATTACACAAATTTTATGGATCGTTTCGAACTTCGCTGAG